ATTACACTAATCTCGTTGAATTTTTAGAGATTCTTGACTCACTCGATTTCTTGACATTAAATGTAATATTTTTAATAACTTAATAGTAAATTTACATTTTTACATTTAATACTTACACGATAGCTAATTTATCACAATAATCATTGTTTATACACAAATATTGTCTTGTATATTTGACGTGTTTGATAAATTAAATTTGTTTAATTGTAAGTTTATAAATAATAGGTACAGAAATATTGTGCTGTAAAATAGGTAAGTACTATTTTTTCACGTTGATCGAATAATAAATATTATTATTAACTAGCAGTGTTKATGATGTCTAAAAATGAAAATCAAATTGTACGTAAGTGTGTTTTGACTGTGATTAATTTATGTTTTGTTTCGACAAGAATTGCAACATGAAATTTTATAATACTTGTAAGAGCACAGTCTGGCTTGGGCGACAAAATTACAATTTCTGTGTTGAATGTCCACACACTTGGAATCATCTGAAAATATGGATAAAAGATATTATGAATTTATAGTTAAAGCGTACAATATATTGATTTTAGTTATAGGAAAAACAATTTAACCTTGATCYGAAGGTTGTTGGGTACTGGTCGATATTGGCTTGTTCTCCCTTTCGATTCGACTTTCTTCACTTGACACTGCAGCTGAAAATCAGATTTCAAAAATAATTTAATTTCTACCAAAATATGAAACTAATCATAATAAAATACGTGAAGTTAAACAGAAACAATTTTAGTAATCAATAAACTACACGCATATTATTATTRTTGCAAATTACTAAGTAGTAATATCCGTTTATAGTTACCTGAATAACTATTGACGCATTGACTTAAGCTACAAGAACGTCTGGCTGGTGGCTTGTTCGATTCATYACATTCTAACGATGGTTTTAATACTTCATTGAGACACTTGACATCTCGTTTCTGAACACCCAAGTCGCACGACCTCGAGCACTGAAAGTAAAATAATAATAATAATAATAATAATAATTCATTTTAAGACATCCTTCTTCATCGGTAGTCCAATCAGTATAAACTCTACTGTACCGGTAGCCACTCTGAAGTGAACCAATTAGAATTGCAGTTTTCGGTGAAACACGACATGGTCGTGGACGGCTTTTCTTTACCCGAACATTGGCTCTGAGGAACAACTTTCCATTCTCTTTGATCGTAAGACATACAAACCGAAGTTCTTGTTTGATTACCCCAACCACACATTTCAGAACACTAAAAACATTTGTATTGTTCATCTTTTAATTATTTAACAATATGATAATATTAAATATTATTTGTTTGTATCACAAAATTTTTTATTTTCTATTATTATTTATTATTATTATAACACAATATTTTAGGGATCAAAATTTCCGTAAAAAAAAGGTTTTCCGAAAAATACCTGAAAAAACCGGGTTTTTTCGGAAAAATTGAGAAAAATTGGTAATATTTAAAATTTCCAGAAAAATTGAAAAACAAAATATTTTTTCTCTTAATAATTAAAAAGAATAAAGATAAAAAAATCATGGAAATCATTGGAAACTATCAAATTAAATTAGAATAAAGATAATTCTCAATTGATAATGCATTAATTCATCACAATGGATGAATTTGAGGATTCTATAGGTACTTTCAGGTTATATTAAAATATTATATTATCTTTTATTTATTATCATTAGGTAAGTAATACTAACACTAAGTTATAAGTTATAACTATTTATTCGTATTCAGTGTAGTATTTATTTTTATTTTAGTTACACGATTACACGACGCGATGGTCGACGACAATAATTATTGTTTATTATATTTAATATTTATTATACTACAATTATAGTGCAATACTACTATTCAGGCGAATAGTACCAAATACCAACTACCAATTACCAATACTAAAATACATATAATGGGTAATGTGGGTTATGTTATATTTAGAACAATCAATAAATATCCAATAATATAGTACAGTAATTTATGATAACCGATCGTACGCACTACGTCACGCGCCGTATTGATAAATGATAATACCGTTGGGTCGTTGAATGTTAATACTGGACTTTCAATATACTTTAAAATAATTTTAAGCGTAAAATATATTATTTTAATTTTCTCTAAATTTTCCATATTTTCTTTGAGTCTGTGAAAAAAAAAACTGTTTTTTTTTCGGAAATTTTCCGAAGTATACTTTTTTTTTTAATTTTCCGAAAACTTCGGTTTTTTCGGAAATGTATTATTTGAATATTCTCCAATTTTTCAATATTTTCCGGGGCTCTGGGGAAAAAACTGTTTTTTTCCGAAATTTTCCGAAATTTTGATCCCTACAATATTTTATCTATATGTGAGTGGAACAATATTTAGAATGAAGATTTTATTTGTTTTAAGTATAATATTAATTTAAAAAAAAAATGCGTATAACACTTTAGACTGCAGACTTTTTAAGACTAAAATATTGCCAAAAAAAGTTATAAACGCAAAATAAACAAGTAACGAATTAGTATTAATAAATACTGGAATCAAATCATTACATATTTTAAAATCTTACTTGCGACCAAGGTCCTGTAAACCACAGTCCACTACAATCTTTGTCACTYAGGCAAGCTCTGCTCGCTTCTGGTTTTATTGATTGGTCACATGCGTTCTCGCGATCAATTCCTAGCGAACAATAAACCTTTCTAGTTTGAGTACCTGTGCCACATGTTTCTGAACACTGAAATAAATACATAATAATATC